GTCTTTTTAATCATTGCTAATTAGTCCTGGATTGATGTTTTGGCATCCTTACATGACCATGGCCTAATTCAGAGGGGTGAGGAGTGATTGGTTGCACCTACCAAAGAGCAGGAGAAAACGTGGTTAGTCCCCCCTTAACACTAATTAAAACCAGTTTGGAGTATTATATTAGTGAACCAATCTTGTAACCACACCATGTACTACTATATGACAAGAAAAATGGTCATAAAGTGAGACACGTAGCTCAAAAAAAATAGTTAATTAGTATTGACTGCCGCCAAAATGTGTAATTGGTTTGGAAATTTTATTAGGGTTTTAAGGCCTCCACGTTCAACTTTGACTATTCTTAAATGGTGGTCTTGTGAATTTTTTTTTTTTTTTTGGTTTATGGGTTGTTCAAGTTAGCTAACGCGTATTTTAATTAATTTTTTTTTTAGTTCGGACAAAGACAGACAATCTATACTGAAACTACAGTATTTATAAGAGATAAATTTTTCATGATTTAATCTCGTAGAGTTGTCAAAATTTAAAATATAACGTCTGACAATTCATCTTTATTATCAATTGAAGTTGGAGTTTGTAAACCCCTTGGTTGAAACCTAGGCTACCTACCAAGACGACGTGAAGAGCCTCAACGTGAATGTTTATTAGACAGACATTCACGTGAGTGCACGGCTACCCGCACCATCTCTCTCTTTCTCTCTCTCTTGTTTATGAAACTGGCCTGTATGTATAGTTGACCTTTATAGTTGATGAAACTGGCCTTTGTTGCTTCTTTTTAATGGTCGGCAACTTCAGATTAAACAAGCTTACATAAAGATTTCCCATATCAAGTAATAAATTTTAAGCTAATGGAGAACCAGTCACATGACATATGGATAACTACTTGAAAATGTGTACAAAATTTACTTATATGTGATTATAGACTAATTATGCTTCTATATCTATATAAATGGGATATATATATACAGGTACATTCTGGTGTATTTGGGCATAAAGTCGAGACCATGCAAAAATTGGCATGCCGGTATGTGAGATCCAAATTCTCTCTAATGTATATGAGTGAAAAACCCATTTATATATGATGGGTTCTACTCAAATTCTCGGTCATCTAAAAGAGATTTAATTAATCTACATCAAGGAATAAAAAATTCTTCAACATTATTGATGCTAATCTCGTGACAGATTTAATAATAGTCATTCTGGAAATAATATATAAATAAAAGCTCAAGCTGCTCAACTAAGATTATTAATGAGGCTGACATGAAATTAAGCTCCCCCATTAATTTCTTGGTTGATGATTATGAAATCCTTAAGTTGTAGAACCCCAAGTCTTTGCATTAATTGCCTTCACATGGTTCCATGTTTCTTTTTCTTGTCTTGTCTTCTTCATTAAAACAGTTCTCCTGTCCTTGTTAGATTCGATACTGTCTTTTAAGCTCTTTTATAATTCGTTCCTCAGCAAGCCAGTAACGTTACCACGTTGAGCACCCTCATGGTTTTAATTGAATTTGATTTAAATAGTCATGGCGCTACGTTTATGTGTGTCTCTATATATATGTATGTGTGAGTGTGTGAGATAGCGTAAATTAAATATACAAACAAAAAAAAGAACGACAAGATCCTAACTTGCTTATACCAAGACTCGGTAACTTTAATTAAATTAACAGCTACTTAGGAATTCTTTCTTTCCGTTTCCACCCATTATCCTAGGACTTGGATCGAGTTAGTTGATTCTAGTTTTTATGATAAATTTTGATCTCGACATAGATATAAACTTAACAGACCAAAAGGGTATCTTGATCATATTTTTCTAGTGGGATTTCTCGAATTTTTTGGTGCCTCAAACAGGTTGCTAATTACAAAAAGGGAGGCGCCCACATTAATGTTCTTTGTCATCATTTTCTGTTTCAAAATCAAAGATCTAGGGGAGAGAGAGAGAGAGAGATATGGTAAGAACCTTGTTTTTCGGTTACTGGGTATTTTTAAAAATTTGAGGCATTAGACTATGAGTGAAAAACAGACATCTTTCACCACCATAGAAGGAGAAACATGAGAGCTCCAATGCGAGCATTAAATGGGCATCGTGGTTGTGAAGATTCATTTTCAAGATGCTTTGGTCTTAAATCATGACACATTGGTTATCTCACTGTTACATGGGGTTGAGTTTCCATGGAACCTTAGCCCTAGAGTTATTCTTCTTGTCTCTTTTTTAGTTCAAGTGCAAATAAGAGGGAATTGTTAATTTAGATGTCCTAAGTTTGAAATTTGACAACTCTTTAGATTGTCGACACAATTTAGTTTGTAGAATGGGCCTTTATTGATTAGACTAAACATATTCAAGCTATGGGTGTGGGCTTGACTCTTTGTCAACTGTGTGAACCCTAATTAACCATTGCACATGTTGAATGGCTGGTACGTGTGATATTCTCCAAATGAAAATAATCTTTCGGAAGGGGTTAGAGTTATTCTTGAGAGAGATAATTCCCTCGCGCGATTAATTTAACTTTTCTCTCTCTTTTTTCTTTTTCTTTTTTGGTTGAAAAGCCCAGAATAATCTGCCAATCCACTGGGGGGTGTGCTTGATTTGGCGCCTAGGATCAGAACAATTTTATCCAAGGAGCTGCTTATCCTGCGTTTGGATGGTAAATTTGGATCCATGATAAGTCTGAACTCTATTTGTAGGGTCAAAGTTGGAGATACTAATCCTTCCATGGTTAGAAGTGAGAGTCCTGGGCCAAGAATATGAGCCGGGCTCGAATCACATCCAGATGACCGATGGGCTGAAGAAATGTTGGGCTACAGCCTAGTGCTAGGTCTGTGTTACTAAATCTTTATATGATACCCGGAAGATATTTGTGCTCTGAATACGACTATAAGAATATCTTCAATCTTTATCTTTTTAAAAATTTGAGTTAAAGTTAGAAATGTTCTAATGGATCTTGATGATGCATAAAAATGGTTTTGCACACCACCTGTCAAGTATAGGTAATAAATGCAGTGAAATCAATGAAAAAATTAAAGAAGACACGATTTATAGTGGTTCGGTCAATTCGACCTACGTCCACTCTTCAATGGCTTTAGTTGCCGGGTATTTTATTAATTCAGAGGTATGAAGAACAAAGATACAAGTTTTGAGAGAATGGAGAATCAAAGAAGGAGTGGTCTCCGGTCGTCGGTCTGTCCTCTGTAAGTGTTGGTGGGGCGTGACCTTCCTCTCTCCTCTCCTCACAGATTGGGGCTACTTTATAGCAGCTAAGAGATCATTTTTGTGGAGATCATGACTTATCCTCAAGGCTACTTTATCGCAGCTAAGAGATCATTCTGGTGGAGATCATGACTTATCCTCAAGGCTACTTTATCTCAGCTAAGAGGTCATTCTGGTGGAGATCATGACCTATCCTCAACGGAAGGAGGAGGTTGGGGAGCTTTTCATGAAACGTGGTCAAAGCTTGGACCGTTTCCTTCGGTAGTGCAGATAAGCTTCTCATGCTCTCCTCTTGATGACGTGCTAAGCAAAAAGTCTAATCGGTCTTGGACTGTCTTGGGCTTGGTAGATTCAAAATGAGGTTGGGCTCCTCAACTGGAGTTGGACTTTAACACATAAATTGGACTATTTGGGCTTAACCCATCATTTGCCCCCCAATGCCCCATGTCCAATGAGACTTGGAGAAGGAGACATTGACTATATTATTATTATTATTATTCTTTTTTTTTTTTAAACTTCAAGTCTTTCCCACTTTATTTTGAAGAGGACCCATAATATTCTATTTGACCTTTTTATTTTGAAAAGGACTTATAACTTTCTATTTGACCACTTTATTTTAAAGAGGACCCATAATTTTCTATTTGGGCTTTTTCCCTCTTTTTGAAAAACCATAGACTATAAATATAGTCTTCTTCTTCATGTTACCCATTTCACTTATTTTTAAGGTTGAGCACCCACCTCTTGAAAACNGTTCAATGGTTAAGAGTGTTCAAATTAGTTTATACACACCTTGATTAATTTCTTTCTTGGTCAAGTTAAAAGTAGATCATTCATTTCGTAACTAGAAAATTCATGAAGGATAGACCTGACTCTAAGGGATTGCCAAAATTTAAATTCATGACGTCTAAATTTGTACCTTGTACTTATTACCAATCAAGCTACCTTCAATATTAAAATTTATTTGTTTAAGAATGGAGGAACCTTATTATTCTTTTCATGTCCCACATGTGCTAGGTTTGACCTCAGCAACTTACCCTTTTTTTCAGANTGGTTCAATGGTTAAGAGTGTTCAAATTAGTTTATACACACCTTGATTAATTTCTTTCTTGGTCAAGTTAAAAATAGATCATTCATTTCGTAACTAGAAAATTCACGAGGGATAAACCCGACTCTAAGGGATTACCAAAATTTAAATTCATGACGTCTAAATTTGTACCTTGTACTTATTACCAATTAAGCTACCTTCAATATTAAAATTTATTTGTTTAAGAATGGAGGAACCTTATTATCCTTTTCATGTCCCACATGTGCTAGGTTTGACCTCAGCAACTTACCCTTTTTTTCAGACACAACCTACTCTTAACTTCTTATAATTAATTTTCTCATGCCCATTGATCTCTCTCTCTCTCTCTCTTCTCACACACATACACAAATGATATCCATTATTGATAAATGAACTTTCTTTTTATTAAGAAACCATGTCATGTCCAAAGAGGGGACTCCCTCTTAAGAGAGTCATGGATTACATTGCTAGAGGAAGCAAAATTGAGGTACTGAGGGAGGTGGTTGTGGAGGANCTCTCTCTCTCTCTCTCTCTCTCTTCTCACACACATACACAAATGATATCCATTAATGATAAATGAACTTTCTTTTTATTAAGAAACCATGTCATGTCCAAAGAGGGGACTCCCTCTTAAGAGAGTCATGGATTACATTGCTAGAGGNTCTCACACACATACACAAATGATATCCATTATTGATAAATGAACTTTCTTTTTATTAAGAAACCATGTCATGTCCAAAGAGGGGACTCCCTCTTAAGAGAGTCATGGATTACATTGCTAGAGGAAGCAAAATTGAGGTACTGAGGGAGGTGGTTGTGGAGGAGAAAAGATTTGTGATCTGAGTCGTCCATCTCTGGAGTTGGTAAAACTGGCTCTTGTTGCATCTGGATGCAAAGTATCTCTGCTTGAGCCACTGCAAGCTGCATTTGTAGCTGAGAAACCTGGTTCTGAAGATATGATATGGCCCCTACACATCCATAAACCGGGTCTCTCACTCGGGCATTCGCTTCGTAAACCAGGCTGCTCACAGCATCCCCTCTCCGATGAACCGGAAGCTCCTGCACGTTTAATAAAAAATAAGAACTTTATTATTAAAATTTAATTTACTATAATTTTTAAATTAACTGTNAATTTTTTATTTTGTGTTAGAGTTTCCCTCTTATCGATTAAATAATATCTTTTAAATCGACATGTGTCTGATGAGACTTTGTTTTTTTTTTATTCAACGATCAGGAGTGTTTAAATTAGTTTACGCGCAATTTAACTAATCTCCTTTTCGATTTGGACAAAAGAATACCATCCACACCGAAATTAAGGTATTTATGAAGGATAGATTCCTCATGGCTTGACTTTAAAAGATTGTTAAAATTTGAACTTATGACGTTTGAGTTTACGACTCGATCGAATAACTTAAAATTTTGTGTCTTTTTAATCATTGCTAATTAGTCCTGGATTGATGTTTTGGCATCCTTACATGACCATGGCCTAATTCAGAGGGGTGAGGAGTGATTGGTTGCACCTACCAAAGAGCAGGAGAAAACGTGGTTAGTCCCCCCTTAACACTAATTAAAACCAGTTTGGAGTATTATGTTAGTGAACCAATCTTGTAACCACACCATGTACTACTATATGACAAGAAAAATGGTCATAAAGTGAGACACGTAGCTCAAAAAAAATAGTTAATTAGTATTGACTGCCGCCAAAATGTGTAATTGGTTTGGAAATTTTATTAGGGTTTTAAGGCCTCCACGTTCAACTTTGACTATTCTTAAATGGTGGTCTTGTGAATTTTTTTTTTTTTTTTGGTTTATGGGTTGTTCAAGTTAGCTAACGCGTATTTTAATTAATTTTTTTTTTAGTTCGGACAAAGACAGACAATCTATACTGAAACTACAGTATTTATAAGAGATAAATTTTTCATGATTTAATCTCGTAGAGTTGTCAAAATTTAAAATATAACGTCTGACAATTCATCTTTATTATCAATTGAAGTTGGAGTTTGTAAACCCCTTGGTTGAAACCTAGGCTACCTACCAAGACGACGTGAAGAGCCTCAACGTGAATGTTTATTAGACAGACATTCACGTGAGTGCACGGCTACCCGCACCATCTCTCTCTTTCTCTCTCTCTTGTTTATGAAACTGGCCTGTATGTATAGTTGACCTTTATAGTTGATGAAACTGGCCTTTGTTGCTTCTTTTTAATGGTCGGCAACTTCAGATNTAAGGCTGTTATATAACGAGATTCGAATTCTGTACTTCTTGTTTTTTTGACCATAAATGTGTAACGAAAATATTTTATACTTCTTCATGGTTATAGTACGAGAATTGAGAGAGAGAGAGAGAGACCTGCAACATTTTGCTAACATTGCTAGCACCGAAGACTTTGTGAACCATGGCAAACTTATGGGGGTCATCGGAGGGGAAGTAAGGAGCAAAAATGCAGTCCTTGGCGCACCGGCGACGAAGCAACTTGCAGGAAGCGCATGGAGAACTTCCACCCATTTTCTTTTCTGAGGAAATAGCAGAGAGATTCTGTAATGAAAAGGAGTAAGAAGAGAAGTAGGAAATCAAAACCACCAAGTTGCACCAGTTGTGTGCGAATGGGAGTGGCGTGGGTGTATATATAGAATGACTTAGACGTGTGAACCCAAGTGAACACTTAGACGGTTAGACCAACGCGCTTGTTAGTGTTAAATCAACTGATGTTACTATATATATAATTTAATTAATTATCATATCTCAGATGGTATAGAACTTTTGAGTGATCATTGAGTCTTTCAAAAGGCATCAAATCATTTGGCAGAAGGTCATGAAATGTAATAGAAGAAAAAAAAAAGCAGTGCTCTCTAGAGCATGTGGATGTTGGTTGCTTTCCAAATTCCAATCCCTCCACAAATAATGTCAAGTGACACATTAACAAAAAACTATCTTCTAAAATAAATATATTATGAGTTTTATAAGCTTCGAATTTATTTTTTGTCAGATGACTTGATGTGATATATATTAGAACTTGGCTACAAGAGTTCTTTGAAAAAAAACTGTTTAATTATTAATTAATTCTCCCTTGTTCGTGATACCCGTCTACTTTACTATATTACTATAATTTTTTATTTTGTGTTAGAGTTTCCCTCTTATCGATTAAATAATATCTTTTAAATCGACATGTGTCTGATGAGACTTTGTTTTTTTTTTATTCAACGATCAGGAGTGTTTAAATTAGTTTACGCGCAATTTAACTAATCTCCTTTTCGATTTGGACAAAAGAATACCATCCACACCGAAATTAAGGTATTTATGAAGGATAGATTCCTCATGGCTTGACTTTAAAAGATTGTTAAAATTTGAACTTATGACGTTTGAGTTTACGACTCGATCGAATAACTTAAAATTTTGTGTCTTTTTAATCATTGCTAATTAGTCCTGGATTGATGTTTTGGCATCCTTACATGACCATGGCCTAATTCAGAGGGGTGAGGAGTGATTGGTTGCACCTACCAAAGAGCAGGAGAAAACGTGGTTAGTCCCCCCTTAACACTAATTAAAACCAGTTTGGAGTATTATATTAGTGAACCAATCTTGTAACCACACCATGTACTACTATATGACAAGAAAAATGGTCATAAAGTGAGACACGTAGCTCAAAAAAAATAGTTAATTAGTATTGACTGCCGCCAAAATGTGTAATTGGTTTGGAAATTTTATTAGGGTTTTAAGGCCTCCACGTTCAACTTTGACTATTCTTAAATGGTGGTCTTGTGAATTTTTTTTTTTTTTTTGGTTTATGGGTTGTTCAAGTTAGCTAACGCGTATTTTAATTAATTTTTTTTTTAGTTCGGACAAAGACAGACAATCTATACTGAAACTACAGTATTTATAAGAGATAAATTTTTCATGATTTAATCTCGTAGAGTTGTCAAAATTTAAAATATAACGTCTGACAATTCATCTTTATTATCAATTGAAGTTGGAGTTTGTAAACCCCTTGGTTGAAACCTAGGCTACCTACCAAGACGACGTGAAGAGCCTCAACGTGAATGTTTATTAGACAGACATTCACGTGAGTGCACGGCTACCCGCACCATCTCTCTCTTTCTCTCTCTCTTGTTTATGAAACTGGCCTGTATGTATAGTTGACCTTTATAGTTGATGAAACTGGCCTTTGTTGCTTCTTTTTAATGGTCGGCAACTTCAGATTAAACAAGCTTACATAAAGATTTCCCATATCAAGTAATAAATTTTAAGCTAATGGAGAACCAGTCACATGACATATGGATAACTACTTGAAAATGTGTACAAAATTTACTTATATGTGATTATAGACTAATTATGCTTCTATATCTATATAAATGGGATATATATATACAGGTACATTCTGGTGTATTTGGGCATAAAGTCGAGACCATGCAAAAATTGGCATGCCGGTATGTGAGATCCAAATTCTCTCTAATGTATATGAGTGAAAAACCCATTTATATATGATGGGTTCTACTCAAATTCTCGGTCATCTAAAAGAGATTTAATTAATCTACATCAAGGAATAAAAAATTCTTCAACATTATTGATGCTAATCTCGTGACAGATTTAATAATAGTCATTCTGGAAATAATATATAAATAAAAGCTCAAGCTGCTCAACTAAGATTATTAATGAGGCTGACATGAAATTAAGCTCCCCCATTAATTTCTTGGTTGATGATTATGAAATCCTTAAGTTGTAGAACCCCAAGTCTTTGCATTAATTGCCTTCACATGGTTCCATGTTTCTTTTTCTTGTCTTGTCTTCTTCATTAAAACAGTTCTCCTGTCCTTGTTAGATTCGATACTGTCTTTTAAGCTCTTTTATAATTCGTTCCTCAGCAAGCCAGTAACGTTACCACGTTGAGCACCCTCATGGTTTTAATTGAATTTGATTTAAATAGTCATGGCGCTACGTTTATGTGTGTCTCTATATATATATATGTGTGAGTGTGTGAGATAGCGTAAATTAAATATACAAACAAAAAAAAGAACGACAAGATCCTAACTTGCTTATACCAAGACTCGGTAACTTTNATATGTGTGTGAGTGTGTGAGATAGCGTAAATTAAATATAAAAACAAAAAAAAGAACGACAAGATCCTAACTTGCTTATACCAAGACTCGGTAACTTTAATTAAATTAACAGCTACTTAGGAATTCTTTCTTTCCGTTTCCACCCATTATCCTAGGACTTGGATCGAGTTAGTTGATTCTAGTTTTTATGATAAATTTTGATCTCGACATAGATATAAACTTAACAGACCAAAAGGGTATCTTGATCATATTTTTCTAGTGGGATTTCTCGAATTTTTTGGTGCCTCAAACAGGTTGCTAATTACAAAAAGGGAGGCGCCCACATTAATGTTCTTTGTCATCATTTTCTGTTTCAAAATCAAAGATCTAGGGGAGAGAGAGAGAGAGAGATATGGTAAGAACCTTGTTTTTCGGTTACTGGGTATTTTTAAAAATTTGAGGCATTAGACTATGAGTGAAAAACAGACATCTTTCACCACCATAGAAGGAGAAACATGAGAGCTCCAATGCGAGCATTAAATGGGCATCGTGGTTGTGAAGATTCATTTTCAAGATGCTTTGGTCTTAAATCATGACACATTGGTTATCTCACTGTTACATGGGGTTGAGTTTCCATGGAACCTTAGCCCTAGAGTTATTCTTCTTGTCTCTTTTTTAGTTCAAGTGGAAATAAGAGGGAATTGTTAATTTAGATGTCCTAAGTTTGAAATTTGACAACTCTTTAGATTGTCGACACAATTTAGTTTGTAGAATGGGCCTTTATTGATTAGACTAAACATATTCAAGCTATGGGTGTGGGCTTGACTCTTTGTCAACTGTGTGAACCCTAATTAACCATTGCACATGTTGAATGGCTGGTACGTGTGATATTCTCCAAATGAAAATAATCTTTCGGAAGGGGTTAGAGTTATTCTTGAGAGAGATAATTCCCTCGCGCGATTAATTTAACTTTTCTCTCTCTTTTTTCTTTTTCTTTTTTGGTTGAAAAGCCCAGAATAATCTGCCAATCCACTGGGGGGTGTGCTTGATTTGGCGCCTAGGATCAGAACAATTTTATCCAAGGAGCTGCTTATCCTGCGTTTGGATGGTAAATTTGGATCCATGATAAGTCTGAACTCTATTTGTAGGGTCAAAGTTGGAGATACTAATCCTTCCATGGTTAGAAGTGAGAGTCCTGGGCCAAGAATATGAGCCGGGCTCGAATCACATCCAGATGACCGATGGGCTGAAGAAATGTTGGGCTACAGCCTAGTGCTAGGTCTGTGTTACTAAATCTTTATATGATACCCGGAAGATATTTGTGCTCTGAATACGACTATAAGAATATCTTCAATCTTTATCTTTTTAAAAATTTGAGTTAAAGTTAGAAATGCTCTAATGGATCTTGATGATGCATAAAAATGGTTTTGCACACCACCTGTCAAGTATAGGTAATAAATGCAGTGAAATCAATGAAAAAATTAAAGAAGACACGATTTATAGTGGTTCGGTCAATTCGACCTACGTCCACTCTTCAATGGCTTTAGTTGCCGGGTATTTTATTAATTCAGAGGTATGGAGAACAAAGATACAAGTTTTGAGAGAATGGAGAATCAAAGAAGGAGTGGTCTCCGGTCGTCGGTCTGTCCTCTGTAAGTGTTGGTGGGGCGTGACCTTCCTCTCTCCTCTCCTCACAGATTGGGGCTACTTTATAGCAGCTAAGAGATCATTTTTGTGGAGATCATGACTTATCCTCAAGGCTACTTTATCGCAGCTAAGAGATCATTCTGGTGGAGATCATGACTTATCCTCAAGGCTACTTTATCNTGAGAGCTCCAATGCGAGCATTAAATGGGCATCGTGGTTGTGAAGATTCATTTTCAAGATGCTTTGGTCTTAAATCATGACACATTGGTTATCTCACTGTTACATGGGGTTGAGTTTCCATGGAACCTTAGCCCTAGAGTTATTCTTCTTGTCTCTTTTTTAGTTCAAGTGGAAATAAGAGGGAATTGTTAATTTAGATGTCCTAAGTTTGAAATTTGACAACTCTTTAGATTGTCGACACAATTTAGTTTGTAGAATGGGCCTTTATTGATTAGACTAAACATATTCAAGCTATGGGTGTGGGCTTGACTCTTTGTCAACTGTGTGAACCCTAATTAACCATTGCACATGTTGAATGGCTGGTACGTGTGATATTCTCCAAATGAAAATAATCTTTCGGAAGGGGTTAGAGTTATTCTTGGGAGAGATAATTCCCTCGCGCGATTAATTTAACTTTTCTCTCTCTTTTTTATTTTTCTTTTTTGGTTGAAAAGCCCAGAATAATCTGCCAATCCACTGGGGGGTGTGCTTGATTTGGCGCCTAGGATCAGAACAATTTTATCCAAGGAGCTGCNTCAGCTAAGAGGTCATTCTGGTGGAGATCATGACCTATCCTCAACGGAAGGAGGAGGTTGGGGAGCTTNG